AAAAAAGTCTCGACATCGTTCGATAAACGAAAGGAACAAAATCTAATTTTCTCGTCGTTAATACATTATCAGAAATCAAAATGGATGAGGAAAATTTCAAGGCCGATCCCTATGCTTTTATGCCCTACACTGATCACCTGCGCCCGAAGGAGACAGGACCGGCGGCCCCAAACATGACAGAACAGAACTTTCCGTCATTGGCAGGAGGCTCCGGTGCAAAGGGCCCCCAGATACAACAAGTTAATAATTGGAATAGAGGCGCCGCCAATAGAAATAATAATAGGAATGGACGCAGACGTAGGCGAGGCGGATGGGACTCTCAGCAAGGACAACAGGTTTAGAAATTGTTTTGACAAAATAACTCTTGTTTGGGGCGGTTGTCACCAGGGTTCGATGGACATATTGCGATGAATAGTGCGATTTTTATTTCATAATTCGAGAATTTTGACAGGTGCATAGAACGTGCTAGAAGTACAACTACTTGACATTTTATTATCAAACCGAATCAAAATATATTTATAGAGCATTCTTGTTACCTATACATGTTGTATTGGTTCACTATTTGTACAACAGGGGTATTTTTAGGTAAAATAGTATATGAGGAAAATTTTAAAAATATTTTTCTAACATTTTAAAATTTTTTAACGTATCTAATTTTGATTCTTGCTAAATTCTATCATACTTGATTTCAATAACAAGAACAATTTACAAGCAGAACCTCAGATACACTTATCTGCAAAATTGATGAAACGTCGCATGGTGATAGAGATAATAATCAAAATCACACTCTTAAAATATTATAGGCCTATGAGAAGTAGTTAGTTATAAAAACTAGAAAATTAGACTTCGCCCTATTTATACGCGTTTTTGAAGTACAACTACTAAACATTTTATTATCAAACCGAACCAAAATTTATTTATAGAGCATTCTTGTTACCTATACATTTAGTATTGGTTTACCAATTGTACAACAGGTGCATTTTTAAGTGTAATAGTATATGGGGAAAATTTTAAAATTATTTTTCTTACATTTTTAATTTTTTTTACAAAATCTAATTTTGGTTCTTGCTAAATTAAATCATACTTGATTTAAATAACAAGAACAATTTACAAGGAGAACCTCAGATTTACTTATCTGCAAAATTGATGAAACGTCGCATGGTGATAGAGATGATAATCAAAATCATACTCTTAAAATATTATAGGCCTATGGGAAGTAGTTAATTATAAAAACTAGAAAATTAGACTTCGCGCTATTTATACGCGTTTTTGAAGTACAACTACTAAACATTTTATTATCAAACCGAATCAAAATATATTTATAGAGCATTCTTGTTACCTATACATGTTGTATTAGTTTACCAATTGTACAATATGATCATTTTTAAGTGGAGTAGTATATGGGGAAAATTTTTGAAAATATTTTTCTTACATTTTTAATTTTTTTAAAAAATATCTAATTTTGGTTCTTGCTAAATTAAATCATATTTGATTTAAATAACAAGAACAATTTACAAGGAGAACCTCTGATATACACTTATCTGCAAAATTGATGAAACGTCGCATGGTGATAGAGATGCTAATCAAAATCATACTCTTAAAATATTATAGGCCTATGGGAAGTAGTTAATTAAAAAACTAGAAAACTAGGCTGTGCGCTATAGTAGTGTTTTTGCTTCTAATCCTTTGCCTTCATCAATTACAAAGTGCAAGTTTGAATTAAACTTTACCACTAAAATTGAACGAGTAAGCTGAATCTCTATTTTGAAGCAAGATGAGTAAATCCAAAATATATTTGGTTGCTTTCATTCAACTTATTTCAAAAAACAAGCAAACAAGTTCAAGCGAAAGGAGATTGAGGGAAAGTGTAGAAATATTATAAATAAAAATAATAAAATAAAATAATAAAAAAGAAAAAGAGATAGGGATAGGTGAATAGAGAAAGAATAGAGATAGAGTATGGAAAAGTGTAGAGAGATAAATAAAAATAATTAAATGAAATAAGACAGAATAAAAGGCATAGAGACAGGTAAATATAAAAAGACATGGAGCTAGACAAATAGAAATTAGAGCATAGAAAAGTGTAGGGAGATAAATAAAAATGTTAAAATAGAAAGGGATAGAAATCCGTAAATAGAAAGCGAGAGTAGACAAGTGTAAAAAAGATAAATGAAAATAATAAAATAAAATTATAAAAAAAGAAAAAGGGTTAGAGGTTATATTTAAAAAAAGAATTAGAGATAACTTCCTATCAGTAGGAATCGAATGATTTTTTAATAATTCGAATTGGTTTAAGCGGTACTCTCGAAATCGTCGACAAAAATTTATATCCGCACACATACACACACATTTATTTTTTCTTATCAAAATGTTCAGAAAGCTTTGAAACGTGAAGATATTCAAAAAATTTCATTTTAATACCAGCTAAAATTCCAAAACTCTTATATATACTTCAAATGTATAATTTTAACTTTGCAATTCAGTTTATATATAATTCTTAGAAATATGAGATAAAGTCATGTAATTTTTACTCCTCTTGTAGAAAACTAATAAAAATAATAAAATAAAATAAAATAAGAAGACAGATAAAGGAATAGTGACAGGTAGATAAAAAAGATATACATAATCAAATAGAAAGGGAGCATAGAAAAATGTAGAAAGTTAGATGAAAATAATAAAATATTATATTTAAAAAAAGAGCTAGAGTTAACTAGGTAGATAAAGGGATAGAGTATCTGTAAATAGTAATCGAGAGTAGACAAGTGTAAAAAAATAAATAAAAATAATAAAATAAAATTAAAAAAAAGAAAAAGGGTTAGAGACAGACAGATATTAAAAAAGATAGATTTAACCATATAGAAAGAGAGAAATAATTCAAAAGAATTTTGAAATAATACAAAAGAATTGGATAACTAAAGGGATAGATATAGACAATTCAAAGGGAGCGTGGAAAGGTGTAGAAAATTAATAAAAATAATAAAATATGATGAAAAAGAAAAGGGATAGAGATACGTTGATAAAAAGGGATATGTATATTAGGGTGGTCCTTAAAATGGACTTTTTAGAATTTTATTGTATTATTTTATTGAAAATATTGAATTATTTTATTACAAAAAACAGGATAGGGACAGGTTGACATAAAAATAGATATAGTCAAATGAAAAGAGAAATATAGTAAAGTGTAAAATAGTAAATAACAAGAATAACATAAAATAATAAAATAGAAAAGTGGAAAGAGATAAATAGATAGTGAGGGATAGAGATAGACAAATAGAAAGAGGGCGTATCGAAAAGTAGTAGAAAATTAATAAAAATAATAAAATAAAGTAAAATAAGAAGACAGAAAAAAGAATAGTGACAGGTTGACATAAAAACAGATAGAGATAGACTGAAAGTGTATGAAAATAAATAAATATGAAATAAAAAATAAGAAAAAAGGATGAAGATAGATAGAAACAGAGATGGAGATAAATGAAGAAAGACGAAGATAGACAAATAGAAAGAGAGAGAGAGTATAGAAGAGTGCAGAATGTTAGATAAAAAATAATCGACAAGAGAGGGATGGGGATAGACAAGTAGAAAGTGAGTATAGAAAGATAAATAAAAATAATAAAAAAGGCAAAAGATTTAAAAATTGACAAATACATAGAAAGTGTCTAGTAAAGTGTAGCAAAATAAATAAAAACAATAAAATAAAATAGTAAAAATGTAAAAAGGAAACAGATAAGGCGATATATAAAGACGAATAGAAAAAGTGGGTATATAAGAGTGTAGATAGTTAGATAACAATAGTAAAATAAAATCAAAAATGAAAAGGCATATTCATAGGTAGATAAAGAGAGGTATAGAGATAGACAAATAGAAAGAGAGATATAGAAATAGACCGGCAAGTTTTTTCAGTTTGATTCACCTTAGACACTTTTACATAAACCATTTTTAGTGAATTGATATGTTCCAGAACTTTTGATGCATAAAATACAATAGAGGCGAGACACCATAATAAAAAACATATTTAGAAATTTGACAGGAGAAACAATTAAATGTGAGATTTTTAACCCGTTGCCTTAACTACTATACCAAGCCGACGTCGTATCGATAAGAAACACTGCACGTTTTTTTATTATTGTTTTTAATTAAACCACTTCTCACAGGCCTATAATATTTTACTAAATTCTTTTCGACTAACTATCATTATGCAAAGTATCATCAAAATTCAAGAAGAGTAAACCTGAGGTTCTCCTTGTTGGTGAAACTAGTTTTTCAAAATAATTTTGCAATGGAACCAAAAGTACTCCGAAAAATTTTTTACGCTCGATCAAACATGTACCGAATGCAAATCAAGTTTTACTTCAAACATGCGTAATATGCTCTTTTACAATATTAATACGATGCAAAATTACTTTGTGACTCTTTGTATCCGATTTTAATAACGACTTTGATTCAAATTATCCATCGAACCTTTTACGCCGCCTTCAATAGCACCAACGTCAACTTTGGAGGTAATTATTAAAATTGTCCTGCAGGGCGGCCAGGAGCGTGTTCGCCAAATTATTCAGCCAGCACCAGTAGCTGCGGAATTATCAGATGATGATAACCAAGAGTTGCGAACATCTGGCCTGATGGATTATGCAAATTCCCTGAGACAAGATGCTGAAAGAATCGCCAGGGAAGAGGCTGAAGAAGAAGCTCGTAGGCTAGGCAAAGTGCAAGATGAAGTACAAGTTAGTGGCGAATGTGCAGGGACTTCTTTTGTAAACAACTGCAATGGAAGCGGCGATGCGTCCAACCGCAAAACCAACAACAATTTTTGAACCAAAAGAATTGTTGTTGATATATCATGAATAAACTTCGAAAAACTGCATTGTGATATCGACATTAACCTAAATATATACTCGCAGCTATACTTGATTGTAAAAGATTTCCTTATACAATCTTATACCTATACAAAATTTCTGTGAATAAATAATATTACTAGTATGTACTCGTACATGTGTGTTTGTCTAAAATTCAGTTAACAATTCTGGTGGTAACTAAAGAGACAATTTCATATACAACCTGTTGAAACTAGAGTAAGGTCACTAATTTTCTTCAGGCTTTACCATTACATCGGTATTGCAAAATTTTAATTGAAATTTGTGTCGACAATGATAAAATAATGGGGACATTATCAAAGTGTTTATTGCGAACCAATGGATGAATGACCTTGAGGTAATTGACTCAAGGACGGAATTTATGAAGTGCTAATATATACATATATATATATATATATATATATATATATATATAATAATAATATATATAATATTTCTACTAGGGATTATACAAAAACCGATATTTTGGAAAAAGGCTGTAGTATTTTTTTAGTTTCGAATTGACATTTTTTTGCTTGAATATTCTATAATTAGAACAGAACAGCAAATTTAGATTAAAACTGTGGTGTGCTTTAATCGTAATCGTGCCTTAAGGCAAATTGCTGGAACTTTCCGTACCACATTGACATATTCGAGAAATTTTAAACGTTTTCAAATATATTATTACAAATACTGTAACTTTCATTATTTTTATATTCTATCTTGTTATATCTGAGCAAATCAAATGTAAACTGGTTGGTATTGGTATTTTGCCTTGAGGCAAGCCACATGAACTTCCCGAAATGTGTAAATAATCGACTTAATCAATAAAAAATAAATTCATTTACGAGTGATTGAAAGTATTCCGAGTGCATTTATTACACATAATTGAAAGCGAATTGAACGCGTTAACTCAAAGTTAACATTTTTATAATTGAACCAGTTTCAGTAGGACTTAAGGTATTCTATCGTTATACCAAGTAAATCGTCTAATTTTAATTTTAACAAACCTAAAAAAAACTACTAATTTTCTTAAACTTTGATGAGTTTTTAAAAATTGTTATGTTTAATAATGAAAGGCTAATTTTTTTTTGCTCTCTATGATTTGCTCAATAGAATAAATCGCATAAAATGCTCAAAATAAATTAGTAAAATGTTTCAAAGCCAAATATTAATTAATGATATAAAATTATTATCATAAACTGTTAAAAGAGGTAAAATAATAGGGGGAGGGAATAAATTAACAGGTAAAATAATGTATATTAAATTATTACTAAGAAAAATGTTGTTTAGATTATATTATTACTTAAAACCGGTTAAACAATGATACGAGATTGTAAAAATTATAGGCAACATTATTGAAGCAATTATTTTGGGTGGAAAAATCCAAGGTAATATTGTACTTTTATTGCAGATACTATATATTAATTTTTTCTGAATTTGTTATACCTTTTAAAAAACTTCAATATCCAATTTAGTGTGGGAATTGAGACTCATTATTTTATTTAAAGCAATTCTACACATAACATCGCTTATATTGATGTATATGACGCATTTCGGTGTGAAGAGTCATTTAAAAAACAATAATTATTATTTTTAGGTAAACGGTAAATATTAGTATAGGATATTAAAAAAATGTAGACGTGGGTACAGGACAACGTCTGTCGGGTCATCTAGTATATATATATATATATATATATATATATATATATATATATATATATATATATATATATATAAATATAAATCATGTTTTTCTGCTACTCATATGACAGTTGGGTACAATGTACCTAAAATGGCGGCGCATAAAATTAAATGCAGTAATAACAAAATGGCGAAACATGAACGTGAAGTTTGCGCTGAATGTTTGATAAAGTAACCGTTAATTTTTGAAATATATTTATTAATATATATATATATATATATATATATATATATATATATATTACCTTATCTCTGTTGATAAGTGCACTCTATTTGCATCGATAGCAATTGAATAATATCGAAACTAATGAAAAAAATCAGAATGTGGCGTGATATGTTCCGAGAATCATTTACACTTTCATGACGAATGACAACATGGCACTCTATCAATATTGACATGGCATAAAAATAGAATGCTGATTAGAATTATCAATAAAACGGGTAAATAACTCCTGGGTTAAAGATTTATGGATATATAAATATATATATATATATATATATATATATATATATATATATATGATGGTTTGCGCAAATTCGTTAATAAAATTGCATCAAAATTTTGCGACACGTGCAGAACAAATAAGCGCGTGACTCTACTTAAATTGTTTTGCAGAAACAATGTTGCACGACACTCGAAAAAGACAATAAACAAACAATATATATATAGTATTTTACAGTTTTCCAATTATATAATCTTTGTTACTGTAAAAAAATAAATTATGTCAACAATTATAAAATTCTACAATACTCTAAAGAATTTGCTTTAAAAAATAATTAATAAGAAATTCTTCAGTAGAATTATTATAATATATTCAAAGTGATGCGAAAAATTCAAACAATTTTTTTTAATAAATATGCAGTTATTGATGTAGATAATTTTAAATATTTTCGAGATATTTTCGTTCATTTACAATTTTATATCGTAATTGTGTAGTAATACAGGAATTCCAACGTCGTAAGATTTATCAAGAATTGTTTTCAAATTTGATGTGATAACATTGAGTCATTTATGTGGAATTGTTTATACAGAAAATTATTATATGCATGAGAAATATTCGTAAGGAGACATATGTATATATTTATATTGAAAAAGAAATCCATTATTTTTTCCATGATTCATGCTAGTTGAAAAGTTTACATATTTCAGTAAAAAAATATTTTGCATTTGAAAAGCCAGTTTCGTCATAAAATCGTGGTGCAATGGTTGAGAACGCAAACTAGCAGAAATGTATTCGATCGTCGGTCAGCTCGATATCAAGCAGTATGATATCAAATGTTCACTAAAGGTTATAGATCACGAATATGAAATAAAAGTCATCTTTCGACACAACTCATAATACATGTAGTTTTGATCGATTTAAAGGAAAAGAAACGAGAAGCATGAAATTTAACCAAAATCTATCCTACCTTTGAACCATTGTTGAATTTATTATTTTCTTAAAACCTGAATTTTATTTATACATTTTAATTATATTATCTGTATATACCAAAAATATATTATAAACAATTATTATTATTTACTGAAACTTTCATAAAAGTGCTTGTTGTAACTGAACGTATTTATTTTCAGATATATATATATATATATATATATATATATATATATATACATACATATAAATGTATGTATGTATGTATGTATATATGTATGTATAAATTAGAAATTTGCATAGAATTAGCCATTAGCTGTCGTCGATGATTCATTCGTTCAAAACTTTCAGTTGTTCGTCATTTCATTCTGTATTACAGGAATGCGTTTGTATAAATTAACATTTCATATGCAAATCGTGAAATAACATTTGATTTTGAATATCACGATGTATCACCAAGGGGGAGAGTGCGGAGTCTAAAAATCCTTAAAAACTCGCTCACGTGATTAATGGGCGCTACCTAATCATAATAATTATTTTACCACTCACCGCAATCCCTGCAAAACTGGTGGCGTCCGTAAAAGGCGTCGTGACCTCACTCGACAGTCCGCTCGTCAACTGTCTGTCGTCACTGGTCGACATTCGAATTATGACGTCACTTCCGTCATCATCGTCAGCCGTCGCCGTCGCCGTCACTCGCGAATATTCGGTGTAACGTTGGGATTCGTTCGAATCCGACGCGGAGAGACGACGGTGGGAGAAAACTGAAAAAAGGATAAGTAAAATCAGTGGCGTACCTAGAACTTTTGCCGCCCTGGGCGATCTCCAGATTGCCGCCCTTTATTCCATTATCAGTTAATGAAATAGTAGTTTTTAATTAATTAATACGCATGAACCAGTGGTGCATGGCATCGTGCCTTAAGGCAAATTGCTAGAACTTCCCATACCGAAACATAAAATTTTTAAAAAAGATTTAAATTTTTTTCGAAAAAAAAAAATATTTTTGAGAATTTTGTTAAAAAATTAACATTTTTGAATTTTTTTTATATTTTGAATTTTTTTGAAAATTTAAAACTTTTTTTTTTCAAATCAATCGCGCAAGAAATGTAAATTAAGTTTGTTTTTATTATTAAAAACTCCAGAAAATATCAGATAATTTGACGTGCATACGAGGTGTGTTCAAAAAGTACCCGGAATTACTAATAATTAAATTTCCCGGGTCTGGAGTGTCTGATTGTCAAAATTTTTTATTGTGTTGGTATACATGCCCCTAAAGTATGATGAAATTTTCAGCTATATTCACTGTTTACTTTGTCTGTGGTAGTCGCTAAGGTTCGACGTGTTTTTCTGAGCTCGGCGATTTTTACAATGGAAGAATTGAAAAGTCAAAGAATTTGTATTAAATTTTGCGTAAAAAATGTAATAAAGTGTTGCAAAGTGCAAAAATTCACCAGATATGGCTCCGTGTGACTTTTTCCTATTCCCAAAGTTGAAGAGACCCATGAAAGGACGGCGGTTTTCCTCGATTGAAGAAATAAAGGCCGAATCGCTGAGAGTGCTCAAGGACATATCAAAAAGTGAATATCAAGGGTGCTTCGAAAATTGGAAAAAAACGCTGGCATAAGTGTATTATATCTGGGGGGACTACTTTGAAGGGGACCACATTAATGTAGACGAATAAATAAATATTTTTTTGAAAAAACGAAAATTCCGGGTACTTTTTGAACAGACCTCGTATGTCTAATTAACTTCCCGTAGGGTAAGTTATTGTAATAAGCCGAAAATCGAAATTGAAAATTCTTATATTTCTCGACGTTTTGAAGGTTTCTGAACATTTTGGCATACTTCAGAAAAAATGGATGTGTCCAAAATATCTCAAAATAAATGATTTAAGATAGAATGATTTACGATGATTTAATATGGTTCGAAATAAATCAACTTTTATTGATTATTATCGATTATTTTTAATTACTCGAATTTTGAATTGCGGTACGGGAAGTTCTAGCAATTTGCCTTAAGGCACGATGCCATAATTGCCTTAAGACAAAATTCCACTCACAGTTTTTTTTTTTTTGAAAAAAAAAATGTTTTCTTTATTTAACTGCATAGAGACAAAATATAAAGCGCGTAAGCGCCGCGTCGCTCTTTAACGGATAAATATTGGTACGGAACCCATAGAAATGTAAACAAAATTTATACTTATTGTTAAAATCTCTATAAAATATCTGATAATTTGATGTGCATAAGTCTAATGGTCATTTTTGACCGCCAAATGGCATTTTTTTTACTTTTTTCACTAGATCTCCGAAACCGCTAGACCTACCTTCATGAAAATTTTATCGATTCTTTATCTTGTCAATACAAGTAAAATGTTTTTTGAATTTTCAAAATCGGACGCTCCGTTCTTTTAAAAACTGAGTTACCGTTTTCGGCACTTTTTGTCCCGTATCTTTGGAACGGCTAGACCTGCCTTCGCCAAAAACTAATCAGCACGTATCCTTATCAATAGGAATCGAATGTTTTTTGAATTATTCAAATCGGTTGATCCGTGTTCCCGAAATCGTCGACGAAAATTTGTATCCGCACACACGCACAAACGTGCACACATACATACATACACACACACACACACATACATCCATTTTTTCTAAGGTATGCCAAAATGTTCAGAAACCTCTGAAACGTAAAGATATATAAAAATTTTCATTTTCTATTTTTTTGCGATTACTATAACTTGCCCTACGGGAAGTTAATGATTGTTGGTATGAATGATAGTATGGGTAAATGACAATGCCCATTATCCCTTACCTGTTTCATTTTCGCTCGTCGCAGGTGCAGTGTTCTGCCTCCTCGGCCTCGGCCTCTTTCTGGAACTTCTACCGACGGCGCCGACCGCCGACGTCGCGTTCGTGACGATGGCGGTCGCGGAGGACGTAGCGAAGACATCGACCATCGATAATTCCGAAGAGTTCGATGTCAGAGTGGAGGACGCCGTGGCTTCGGCTGTCGTCGCAGTGGCGGCGTTGGTGGCGGCGGCGGCGGTCGAACTCGGAGCGACCGCTCGCCCCTCTTGCTCGCGTTCGTCAATTGTGATGGATTTTACTGGAAAGAAAATGGTAATAGAATTAAATAATAAAGAATCTGATATTATTGTTGATGATTAATGTGTTAAATCAAGAGAGCAACATTAGTGCTCAAATTAACTTATAAATATATGTTCACGCCAAAATAGACGTGACAACGTCGCATTAATTTTAGCAGCGAAAGAATTGCATCTTACAACGATGCATGGATATTTGCAACTCAAAATCGGCAACTAGCTGTAAGTGGAATTCTGTCTTAAGGCAATTAAGGCATCGTGCCTTAAGGCAAATTGCTGGAACTTCCCTTTTAAAAAAAATTTACTTCGAAAAAATAAGATTTTTGACAAACAATTAGACAAAAAATTACTTTTTTTTTGAAAAAAAAAAATTTTTAATTTTTTTTTTAATTTTTTTTTTTGAAAAAAAAAATGTTTTCTTTATTTTGACATATTTTGAAAGATCTAAATTTTGTCAAAGCAATCGTACTGCTTTAACTGCATGCATAAAGACGAAATATCAAACCGCGTAAGCGCCGCGTCGCCGTCTAACGCTTAAACATTGGTACGGAACCCATAGGAATGTAAACCAAATTATACTTATTGATAAAATCTCTATAAAATATCTGATAATTTGATGTGCATATGTCTAATGATCATTTTTTGACCGCCAATGGCATTTTTTTTTACTTTTTTCATTAGATCTCCGAAACCGCTAGACCTGCCTTCATGAAAATTTGATCGGTTCTTCACCTTGTCAACACAAGTAAAATGTTTTTTGAATTATTAAATCGGACGCTCCGTTCTCTTAAAAACTGAGTTACCGTTTTCGGCACTTTTTGCCCCGTATCTTCGGAACGGCTAGACCTGCCTTCGCCAAAAAACTAATCAGCACGTCTCCTTATCAATACGAATCGAATGTTTTTTGAATTATTCAAATCGGTTGATCGGTATTCCCGAAATCGTCGACGAAAATTTGTATCCGCACATACATACACACACGCACACACACACACACACATCCATTTTATCTGAGGTATGCCAAAGTGTTCAAAAACCTTCAAAAGGTAGAGAAATGCAAAAATTTTCATTTTCGATTTTTTTGCGGTTACTATAACTTGCCCTACGGGAAGTTAATAAAATGGCCCTCTACCAGGTACCTGAAGGCACATAGGCATAGTCTAGATCCAGTCGCGAAACTATCAACATAGTCTAGACCCGGTCGCGAAACTATAAACATCAAAACTCAAATGCTATACAAATACTCAAATGCTATACAAATACTCAAATGCTATACAAACTCAAATATTACTACCATATAAACGTGTAAATTATATTCTACAAATAAATTAGTGTAAATCTATTTGTTATTAATCAATATTTACATTTTAAAACGGTTGATAGAGCCACAAATTCTATCTGGTCCTTGAGCTATACATTTCAACAAAAAACAATATGTATATATATTTTAGATTTTTGAAACTCGAGCTATAAGATAGCAATATTTTTTGCAGTATTACATTGAAAATATTTTTATTTTATTATTTGGGGATAGATAGACAGAGTAAAAGAGGAATGAAAAATGAAACACAGATACACGAAAAAAAGAAAACTATCCTGACAAGTAAACCGACATATAAAATATAGAATGGAAAGAAGAACTCTGAACATAGCATCAACTTAAACAAACAAATTAAAAATAAACATAAAAAGGATACAAAACAACTCTGGTGGTAAAAAGAACTCTACTGGCGAGCAAATTGGATTGAAAAGGGACTCTACGTACTTTATTATACAACAGTAACAAATTCATTTTGATTATAAAAATGAAGTGTTTTTTAGTTGAACTTCTCTAAGTAAATGAAAGTGAATCTGCAAATTATCCGTTTCATGGAAGTGATCATTGGTAAACCACATTTTTTGTTTTTTGGTCTGACGTTAACACAAACAAAGCGGATGGTTTTCCAACTTGTGAACAGGCAACGTATAACTGCCCATATGAAAAACAATGATTTTCTAAATAATCTATTTGAAAATTATCCCGCTAACACTAAGCGATTGGCCTTGCGACTTGTTATTGCGAACGCAAGGCGAACTGGAAATTGCAATCGTTTGAAGTCAAACGAAGACCAGTCGGAATCATTGGTATGTCACCAATCGCCAGCATTTTTGATTTTTTAATGGTGAAATTCAGTGCGTGTACATCATTATTCTTTGCGGCATGAATTGCTCGTTGACTTAACCAACATAATTCTGATAATTCTCACTAATGCCATTACTCAAATTTTAAATGACGGTGTTTGAAGTTCGAGCAATTTGCGTTAGGGCACGATGCCATGCACTACTAATTTTCTTAGCTATAAACCTTGCGGAGCCCGAGACCTTTCCAACGAATGCAAAATTGTCGAAATCGGTTCGTGCGTTCTGGAGTTATTTCGTCAGGAAGGAAAACCCGACTTATTTTTATATATATAGAAGATTACATAAACTTGTTGTGTAAAGTTGAAATTATTTGTTTAAAGTATATTAGAACTATAGCCAGAATTAAAAATAAAATCTGAATTATTCTCGATACACAAAAAAAAATTTTTTTTGAAAGAAAAAAAATTGAAAAAAAAGTTGAAACAAATAATTTTGTTCAAAATCTATTATTTTGTTAAGACAAGCTGAAAGTTCTTTGAATCGTTCAAATCCGACGCTTAGTTCTCTCAAAAACTGCCATCGCTTGTACATTTAGCTCTGTATCTTCGAAATGGCTGGGCCTGCCTTTGCCAAAAACTAATAAACCACTTCTCCCAATCATAACTAATTGAATGTTTTTTAGATCATTCAAATCGGATGCTCTGTTCTCTCAAAAACTTGATTTCTATTTACTCCACTCTTTGCTCTTTATCTCCGTAACTGCTGGACCTGCCTTTGTCAAAAACTAATGAGCACATCTCCCTATCAATAGAAATCGATTGCTTTCTGAATTTTTCAAATCGGTTTATCCATACGCCCGAAATCGTAGACGAAAAATTGTCTCCACACATACACACACACACATCCATTTTTTTGAGGTATACCAAAATGTTCAGAAACCTCTGAAACGTAAAAATATGCAAAAATTTTCATTTTCGATTTTTGGCCCATTTCTATAACTTACCTTAAATGAAGTTAAAAAAGACTCTACTAACGAGCAAACTGTAATAAAAGTCAAAGTAAACAGGGACTCTACTAACGAGCAAACTGAAATAATAGACATCGATTAATTATTCCAATTATGATTTTTTATATTGGAGAAACTAGCCAAAACATGAGTAAACGCCTTCATCAACATAAAAATAACGCAAAAATTACCAAACAATTCAAGACCATGTTAACCGAGCATATTAAAAATTTAAACCATATTATAGATTTTTTCAACCCTAAAATTTTACATTTTGAAGAGAACGTAATTAAAAAAGATTCGCTGAGGGGTTGTTTTTACAATTACATAACGACAGAGTCATAAACAAACGTTTTGACAACACGGCCCTGAACGAAACAAACACGTGGTTTCTTAATAGCGCGTCAAACTTTCTTAAAAAATGATAAGATCCCATCGCTTTTTAAATTTCCCGTGAAATTTGAACCCGTGCTAAAAACTGATTCAAGAAAAAATGTGACATTTCTATCTCAAACTCCGAACAGTAAATACATAGTTTCGACAATGTATGATATAACTTGTTAAGTTATCATGTTTATTTGTGTGTTTCACCATTTGTGATGTTAAAAAATATATATTTTATGAATGTGCACATACTCATACCATGGATTAATAATGGTTTCATATGTTATATTAGGATACAAAATTGTAAGTATTTTATTATTATTATTATTGTTTTTCTATAAAATTTCTTACATATTACTTATTAAGTTTTGAAGGCTAGATGCTAGCCGAAACGTATGAATTTTAAATAAACAAATTTCTAAAAACTCTCATAATATTTTTATCGATGTAACACTCGACTTTTAAACTCAAATAAAATATATTATATCAAGACTATCTAAAAAAAATTATATATTGTTTTTCCTTACCTCTATAACTCAACTCTAGTTCGCTTGTCACTTAGAAGGCCTTTTTCCAAAATCGCTTTAATATTTACAATTCTGTTTTAAATTTCCAAATTTTTTTGATAACAGCTAAAATCACATTGAATTATTTTTGGCACAATTTTTAAAGCAGATCACAATGAGACATTTGGCAACAGGTGGGCGGTAGATTGGTGGCACTCTGGAAAAAAGAAAAAAAATAGATATTAATTTATAGTCATAATTGATATTAAAACATATGTGAAAATTATATTTGCATTTGCTGCATAACAACATAAATGTTATGGCAAGCCATGTTATGAAGAACTTTCCATACTAAATATTATCAAAAGCCATGCAAGTACTGTGCAGTCAGGCGTATTTCTCAGGTTGTCAGATAGAAAACATAACCTAGAAACCGCACAAATGTCAACAGATAACAGGGTCTTTCTGACTCGGCATCATAACATACGAGTGACGTTGCAGTTTATGTGTAAAACGCCTGAATGCACAGCAATTACATGACATTCTTATAGTATTCAGTATGATTCAGTACCATAATGTATGCAAGTAGAAGCGTAACATGGCCTTGCCATAACATTTGTTTGTCATGCGGCAGAATCGGTCCCTTAATATATATTTTTTTTGAAAATATAAAATACGTCCGCACGGATAAGTTTTGATATAAGATATCTTAGTTAATATAAGTAAGACAAATTAATTCATTATGTAAGGTACTTTTTTAAATTTGACCCAATGCTATCACCCTAAGAAAAGTCAATTAGGTACATATAATTTTTATCATTTACTTGATTTTTTTCTTAGGATTGAAACTTCACAAAATAAACCTTATATAAAAACTAATAGACAAATAAAATAGCTTAATTGTCTTGTCTAATATAAAGTAGTGAAGATATATTTTATATATTAATAAATTATGTGTGCAATTATTAGTAACTTAAAAAAATTCATTTTATGCAAAATTTCAAAAAAAAATCTTGTGGAGCGACCATAACGCTCCACCGTAAATTTCAGTGTATTGTTGATTTAT